GTAGACATCAAGATAGGTCTTATCCTGTGACCATATGGCATTGGCCTTGCTTCGGATGGTGATATATTGTTCTCCCAAATTGCAAACAGACTAAGGTAGGTGGCGATTGTCCGGAATTGCAAGTATATCAGTTCGAAAGAGGATTTCAGGTGGACTTAGTTGTTCTACATAAAGAACAGTGGATACGGCTTGTAAATGTAACGTGTCTTCCTACTTTCCCCTCCAGATTTATCTGAGCTTATACCAGTATCACATCCTCACAAACAATGCGTTTCGTCTATGTCCTCGCCGTTGTCGCTGCTTTAACATCTGCTACTCACGCTGCCAGTGAGGGCTGTCCTTGGCTCTGCATTATAAGTTCAGAGTGCAGAGGCTGTCCTGACGGTAACCATTATTGTGTGAGTACGAGTAGTTTGTATTTAACAAGATAACTCATCGGCATGGCAGTTCTTCTTCGTATGCTCCCCAGGGGAACCCTGTGCGGGTGATTGCTGAGTGCGAAGGCGAATAAAGATCGAGACGAGTTGCGGTTGCCTGATCGAGTAGCGAGGACTATCGTGTCGGAACCAAAAGTCTAGAACCGAATCGTAGCGGGAAGCCAACGACGATGGATTGGCACGAAATAGTATATCGATACACAAAGTATGTACAATGATTAAGCACTTCATAGAATAGATGCAGCACTGCCAGTTTCACCATAGTATCTGAATTTGATCTTCATAAGTTTCTAGCTCTTTTGTTGATATCTTCGAGTTCGTCAGTAGCTCCTTTTTTGTATCCGTTTTGAGTGCACCAATCTATGCAGGACAGTGCTATTTAGTAGTCTAAGGGCCTCATTCCGTGAGGCGTACCCACCAGTCCGCCGTTCCCGCCGGCCGTTTTAGACTCTACGAATATGAAGTGACTTTGGATGTACGTACGGTGAGGGAATTCAATCACAAATATTTGCTCATAATGCGTAGCTTGTCTTTTACCGGGCCCCCTCGCTTCTGATCACCAGAAATTGAACTTGTCGTATGTTATTTGCGCTTTGAATTTTAAAGGCTAGACCTGTCTATGGACTTGTCCGATATATGATTAACGATTTTACACTGCGGCACAAATCTTAACACAACGCTATACCTACCACCTTAAGACTCCTAGACCTAGCATTAATGTCGGAGCCTTGTAAGCATCTTTGCTTCTCTTCCTTTTCCACATTAGCTTCTGACCTGTCAGTCGCAAAAGCGCACCATCATCTAGGGCGCATGTCGTTGAGCCCATCACTAATCAGGGACGGTGCAAGGTAAAGGTCCTTGAAGGCAAACCACATATCCCTACCACAATGCATGTAATGCGCCCATCACAGATCAGTAAACACGGGCAACAACCGAAAACTGAGATGTGGAGCCTATATTATGGGAGGCCAGGTGGTCGTGACGCAGTATTGACGCGGCGCATTCGAAACAAATTCCACATGCTTTTGATCTTGGTTGTTGATGAATGTCCGAATTTGTGTAGGCCCCAAAGCGCTGAGATGCTTATCTAGATCTGGATCTCACCACATTTACGACGCTTGTCCTCCACCTTGAGGATGAGCTATGCCTTGAAGTTGGAGTTGGACCACTGAACCGAACGTTGCGTTCGGTTCACATTCGGTTCGGCGATCGAACGCTGAACGCATTCGCAATTCATGGGGGGGAAAGCGCGTACAGCGTGTGTCTGCACATGTAGAATCAAAGTAAGGCCATGAAGACGACGAGCAGAGTGTAGAAGAGGTGATGAGTCATGGTGGCGGTGGGCGTAACATGGCGACTCAACTCGATCGACATGTTTAGTAGAAAAAAATAGTGAAAGTGCGACGACGCACGAGGATATCTGACAGCAAAACTCAAACTATACCCATCTATCTTCCCGCTTGAACCTATAATGGCAGCGATTTAGTTTTAGACCAAGTCGTGTTAACCTCAGCGTTATGTTTTAAGACAAGCGAGTCCATAAAAGTATTGACAGCATTACCAGTATTGCGTTCTACAAATGAAACTAATCTAGGAGCTTCGATAAGACGACTAAGTGAATTGTGTGTTTCGAAGTAAAGACTACGTCACATACCAATGCTTAATATTCAATGACCGAAACCACCGCAGACTAATGTAAGCATGAGCCGAGTCGATGAACAGTTAAAAGATGAGCCTAAGCTTAAGACCTGCAGAGACCGTGAAACCAAGTGGGCAACCTGCAGGCTGCGGTTCTGGACGGTCCAGGACTGTGGGAAATCATTGCGCTTTATATGCAATGACACGGTGACGCGATATACGTTACGAGTGCTTTTCAAATTCAAACGTTTTGGATTTCAGATCAATCAATTATCAATATGCCCAGTTCGTCTCAATGTGTTTAGTACGTCGTCATTCTTCTCTCAATAATGATTCTGAGAGTCTCTGCAGCTACACCAGTACGTGACAGTAGTCGTCGGACAGTTAAGCCTCAAGTCAAGATCTCAAGCATAAGCTTCGCAAGCCAGCAGATCTTGATGAGCAATGGGAAATTATTGCGCTTGGTCACCAGTCATATAAAATAACGCGAACACGTTCGAGATAAGTACTTGGAAGCATCAAACATAGATCTGAACCCTAGATTCAGTTGATCAAAAGTCTGAATTTCGGTGAGTGATGACGGAACTTTTCCATCATCATGATGGTGCCAATATACTAATCCCTGAACTTCGGTTGTCTCATTGGCTTCGCAAAACAAGGTGATAGTATGATACTTTGTTCCACTCCAAATTACCGGTAAATATCGATTCACAAGATAGACATCATTAGGTGGCGATATGCTTGCCAGCATTAATCTTGCTTCGCAAGGTGATATCCTTTCCGCACCAAATTTCAAATAAACCTTGCTTCGCGAGGTATATCAGTTCGAAAGGGGATTTCAGGTGGACTTCATCATCCTACACAAAGAACGGTATACAGGAGATACTAAAGGCAAGGCATCTTCCTACTCCCCCTTCAGATTTATCTGAGTATCACATCCTCACGAACAATGCGTTTCGCCTTTGCCCTCGCCGTCGTCGCTACTTTGATATCTGCCACTGCCGCTACCAGTGAGGGCTGCCCTTTCTGGTGCCTTTCTTCTAGCCACTGCCATTGCCCTGACAATCCGTTCTGTGTGAGTATGAGTAGGTTTTATTTAACCAAATAACTCACCAGCATGGCAGTCCTTCTTCATGTGCGGCCCAGGGATCCCCCATTAGTGAACCGAGGGAAAGCTGAGAAGGACACATAAATCTTGCCGCCTTAGTATTTAGCGGATGGCTGTCGGCATTAACGGAATTCTACTATAGGTTATTAAATTGTCATGCTTTATTTTATGGAGGAAACTGGTGTTCCCAATTGACGTGCACAGGTTTGCAAACTGCCAGAAACTCGTGGATTAGTTCAACTCGAGATCAATTGGTAGGTGAATCAAAATTCAATGGTCTGCCTCAACTACTCATGGTCGGAGCAATGTCCACGGTAGGACCAGATTGGGACCAGAAATTACCAATACTACTCCATAGGTCTTTTGACGCATCTGTTTTTTGAATGTGCAATCTTGGTAAGCGTAAGCTGGCTATTATTGCACACTCGGCACGAGACTACTCCGTCACTCTCCGAAACCCTATACTAGACCTCCAAATATAGTAAGGTGTGGTAATCCTGTCCGAAATGCCATTCACATGGCTACAATGGACGGTTTCCTAGTCTGACATAAGCACGGGACTTTCCTAGCCGGCGGCATCTATGAATAGATCAGGAACATTGGCACTATATCCGGATGTGTCAGGTTATTGCCGGGTAAGCTTGCAAAGGCACATAAATATTCACATTTATTCGTACTGGCAGGGAATCGCTGGAAGCCCCTCGACTTAGACCCGACACACCGACACAGTGGTACGTCTAACAGGCCTAACAACGTGGGAGCCTCAGGTGCCAGAATGGTACTGGACTGCGCAACTTCTATGATATGGTATGCAGTTCGTTTGACGCTGTGTCTGACACCCTTCTGAGTTCACTGCTGGTAATACCGGTATAACTATTTATCACCAACTCATCATGGTATGTTTAAAATTGTCTCTGTTACTTCAGATTATGCCCGGGCCAGCATGAGCTCAGGATTAGTAGTACTTGCATGCTCCACTCAGGGTTAGCAACCACTGAGAAAGCTGCACAGGTCCAGTGCCATTCTGGGGTATCTCACCCGACAAAGTATCGTAATAGGTGGGACCCTTTTGTTTGGCCAGCTCCACAACTAAACAAAAGCAGCGAATGAACAAAAATGGATTCTGGCCTATCGATTTGAAGGTAGCTGTAAAGCCCCGCGTGCACGGGCCTAGTGCTGCCGTGGTTCTGTCCAGAACAATGGTCCGAACCTGACCAACGGTCAGGTCCTTCCTTGTTCGTTCCGTGGTTTAAGAATTGGGGCGGACCGGACCTTAGTGAGATTCGTGGTCTACCATTGCCCGAACAGTTCTATGTTGATTCGAACCTTCCCTATCGATAACCCCGATGTTAGTGCTGGGGGAAGAATTGTTTGCGAGCAATTTGTGCCAGCATAACCGGCAGAAGCGGCAGAACCACCACTTCTGCCGCTTGGCAAAATTTCCAAAGCGCTACAAGGCTGTGTGTATGACAATATATAGTAAGTGTCACTAGGAAACACCATTAGAAGACATCAGCGCGTTCACATCCCACTGTGCGTTGTCGTGTGAGATGTGATCAACTGCCATGATCTCGTCAACAGATTTTGGTGCAAGACCTTGGTCAACATACTCCAGCATACTCCATTCCGCAAAATCATAAACTTCAACGCCTTCATTTCCGTCAACCGGCTATGGCTCCACAGCTTCTTTCTCGTGTTCCAGTAGCGCAAATGCAGCGATGCACGGGTAACGGGCCAGGGTCACGAGTCGAACAGCTGCAATAGTACTTAAAGCCCAATCACCCACCATCGTCGACAATCCAACCCTCACAACAGCCATGACCGACTCCGGCAAAGTCTACCACCGCTCATGCACCGGACTAGCTCTCCAAACCGTCGAACAACATGCTCAAGACCAAGACATCACCCTCTTCGCAACCTGTTTTTCCCCACCCGTGCAACGTGTATGGTCTGCGCTCGAATATCTTGAGATTCCTTACAAAGTGAGAGAATTTCGCCGTACTTGAATGAAGGGCAGACTGATCGAGGGTAATCATAATCTAGTATTGTAAGCGTATCGATCATTGATGCACTAATTAGGGTGATGACAATGACTGTATGCATGCTTTGATGGACGACAGACGAAGTCGATCCCCATCAAAAGTCGCAAGAACTACTGAGCGTCTCGCCGAAAGGCCTAGTCCCAGCGCTCATGCTTAATACTTTCGATTCGCCTCGTGCGCTAAACGAAAGCACCGTTATCCTCGACTTTCTCGAAGAGTATGTTTCATCCCACACACAGGATCACAACATTGCTAAAACCGGGTGATGATCACCCAGTATCGCTGCGAAGTCAACACACAGAAGCCTCTTCCCGCCATCAAAAGATCCATGTTTGTGAAACTCAACATAAATTTGCAAGCGCTCACATACATAAATCGTGCTCTTTTGTCAGATGCGAAAGCGCTCGTCCGGCTCCAATCAGATCATATCAACCGAACGCTCATGCCTGCGTTTTACAGGTATCTTCAAGCTCAAGGTCCAGAGGCGCAAATTTCTGGAGGGAAAGAGTTTCACGCCGCCATTCAATCATTAGTCAAGCTTTTCGAACGCGCGGAAAGAGAGGTAGGAGGAACAGGGCTCTGGGTTGAAGGTGGCGATTTGGGATGGGCGGACGTCATGGTCGCACCATGTGGGTCTTATTTTCTACTCATTGATGGTAATGGAAGACACTCAAGGTCGTGACTCCAGGGCTATTCAGAGCGTCTAATGTGTTAAAACACTACCGCGGGTTTGAAATGCCGCGAGGAACCAAATTTGAAGCTTGGTTAGGGAGGCTTTTTGAGCATCCTGCCTTTAAGAAGACTTGTAGTGATGAAGAGGTGTATCTGGACAGTTATGAGCGGTGAGCGCATGTTTCCGATGGGGGTGGGGTGACTTACATGTCTCGTAGATATGCATTTAATCGCCCGAACACGAGTCAGGTGGCTAATGCGATTAATAACGGGAGGGGCTTACCTTAAGCGAGACATGCAGAAATCTAATAACTCTGCACAGGAGTTTCTTGAGTTATTGTAAATATAAATGTATATACAAAGTGAAGAAAATAGCGCTACGGGGTCTCAACTGTTTACGCTGCGGGAGATGCATCGATGGAAGTTGGTCGGTGGGAGGTACTGATTTTCCAATCTAGGGGACGTCGAAAGCGTGATACATTGCATAATCATTCGGGGCTTGCTGCTTATCGTAGAGCTGTGATTCGTGAAGAATGAGTATGGGTAGAAGTCTGAAGAGAGGCGTGTAAGATGTCCTGCCCTCACTGTGACGAATCGAGAGGCTCGGACTAGGAATGGGGATGAGACTTTTTTATTGGGTCAAAAGACTAAGGAGAATATTCGACGGGGAGAAGTCTTAATACGCTGATTGAGACGGAGAATCAAAGGAGAACGTGTATAAAGCATGTAACGAAGAGTGATTGTGCATGTAAAAGAAACGGATGAGTACGTACGAGAGTGACGTCGATAGTCATATCTTAACATTCACGTGCCAATTGTTCTCAATTCGTGTCCCCTTGATCCAAAATACGACACGGCCGGTGGGGTCGTTACACATACGTGAGCTTCACGAAGCGGAAACGCGCCCCACCCACCAAACCATCCCAACAAAGCATCTCCCTCACATAATTCCCCCTGTACGAAATCAGCGTCGGCCTTTGCCCGACATCATACTGACGGAGTACGTGTTCAACCAAAATACACGACTAGAACATACATATAGTACGATAGTAAAACGGGAGTAAGCCCCCCGTGTATATAGCTATGTCCGACATATGGTCAATGACCCCGAAGGACAAAAAATGTATTTTTAAAAAAAAAACATTCACTGTAAGAAAATGCTAAGAGTTGTCGAGACAAGTCCCAACGTTCGACCCCGAAATTCCATAGCGCCGGTGCAAACTATGGCATTGGTATCTTTTTGCACACTCTGACCTAGTTTGTATTCCATCTCCTGTGCCTTTCGGATAGTCTGCACAGGAGCTACACACGCACTGGCACGACCCCATGCTTGCTTCAATCACGCGTCCCTTGTCAAGAGAAATATACCAATGTCGTTGCGCATGTACATGGGACGAGACGAGCTTTATCTAAGATGATTGATGCGTAAACACAGATGAAAGGGAAGAGAAATGTTCAGAGTAACAGAGTTTCTAGATGATTTCATGACTGACGCGAAGTGGAACGACGACCAAAGTAAAATCCGCAACAGTTGACTTCGTGGGGAACTTCTCCCCTCCCACCGGTTGATTGGTATGTTTCTGTTGGTCGTGCTTGAGACCCTTGTGCCCCTGCCAGTACTTGAGATGGTCGTGCACCTGCTGGTTGACCTGATTGGGTTGCACTGTTGGCCTGGTTGCTGTTCGTACGTTCCATAGCTGCCGCCGCTTCCTCGTCAGTTTTAGGGACAATGCCATATCTCTGTAACTTGTATTTTAATGGAAAGAAATTGGAGGGACGACGAGTCACTCACATCTTCATCACGAGCAGGAGCTACATCGACGGTGCGGCTGGAGTTTCTCACAGGAAGTAAGCTGAAATTCCAATGTCGGGATATCCGAGGTGATAGTGGGGGCGTATCTGTAGGTTGGGTACTGAACCGGAGGGAACCAATCAAACTGCGCCAACGAAAGAAAGATGAAGTCGCAGGCGGAGCTGCGCGACGAGGTGCGCGATCTGAATCATTGGCGAAGAAATCATTGCCCTGTATCAAATTCGGATTAGCAAGAGCTGAAGAACGAAACATTCTACCAACGTATTTCGCCGAGCCTTTGGTAATGGCCTATTGTTTGAAGTCCAAATGGTCATTAAGAATCTAGCGGAACATCGAGAACAAATGAGGTTCCTTACGATTGATTGCCGCGCAACTCTTGGTTGAGCTGGACGTCCCTGATAAAAAGTGAGATGTGGTGTGAAAGAGAAGCAGAGAAGACTTGCCTTAAGCTCTACATTCCCATCATCTGCACCCTAGATGGTCAAAACCATTAGAAAGGGAAATGACAACAAAGCGCATACGTACCACAACCTTGAGCGCCGCCTGCAGGTTCCATACATAGATTTTGTTGTCTAGTGCAGCACTGGCAATGTACTTGCCATCGGGGGACATGACAACAGCGCAGAGCTCGTCATCATGCAAGAGTGGATCTCCGACTACCCGATTGGTCTTGAGATCCCAGATGCGAATGGAGAAGTCCTTTGATCCGCTAAGAATATAGCGTTCATTGAGGGTAAGACAGATAGATCTGACGGGATGGGTGTGAGCCCGAAGAACGACGAGTTCCTGTCCATCAATCGCCCGCCATTTTCGGATGGTTTGATCATCCGAGCCGGAGAATATGTGGGCTCCGTCCTTGGACCAACACAATGACGACACCGGTCTGTCATGTCCCTTGATCTCGATAAGCAGCCTGCCGTCCCTTGACCATATGCAGATCAGACCCTTCCCACCGCTCATGAACTTGTCGCCTTGCGGAGAGTATTTCACGGTGACAACCCATCCGTGACTGGTCTCTATGGGCGGTGCTAATTGTCGACCAGTATTCAGGTTCCAGCCTCGTATGGTGCCGTCTTTCGACCCACTTGCTATCTCCTGGAAATTGCGAGACCAATCAAGGCACCTCACTGCATCAGTATGCCCCTACCACGGGTCGCCGATCATGCAGCCCTCCTTGATATTCCACAGCCGCAGTGTGTCATCTGCATTTCCACAAATGACCATTGTTTCGTCCGCGGATACTACCATTGGACCTATCCCTCCCCCATCGCTATTGGAAGGTTTTCCCACTGGTTCTCCGTCTCTTTTCCACTGACGAATCGAACTATCGTAAGACGTGCTCATTAGATTGCCACTAGTACCCAAATAGGCAAGGCTCCATGTGCAGTTGGAGTGACCCTCAATAACGCACTCCGGCATCAAGCTTCCTGCCGGACGTTCTGGCTTTGGTTTCTTCCACGACGTGGTCCGAGTATTGTGGTTGACGAAGTAGGACCGACCGAGTGGAGAGATGTGCCATTCGCATCCGGGAACAACGAGATCTCCAGGATAATCTAGGTTAAACATTCAACCGTGAGTTCGTCGCTCCTTGTCGCAATTTCATCCCTCACCTAGTCGCACTCCTGGTAAAGGTCGGTCCCACGAGACCATCGTGAGCGTGTCATCTTGATATAGTGTTTCACCATCCGGGGACGTCTTATACTGTCGCCACATAGGAGGAAGCGCTTCATTCCCGCCTACTTCTAATTGAGTAAGCTGGTAGGTATCACCAGGTGGCTGCTCACCTTCCCAAAGTGCATCCTGACGGTGCTGTGCACCATATGGTGGTGGATCTTTCGCGCTCGTCCGACGTATCGGTGAGTACAATCGCGCTTCTCCCTGTCTCGTTGACGTACTCGACTCGGCCTCCTCGTGTGGCATGACCTTGATTGATATAGGATACTGGGCTGTACAAACGCACTGGACAGAGAAACACTGCGCAAAGTCAGCAATCGAGGGGAGGGAGAGATACAGGTTGAAGGTGACGAAGAGACTTGCCATTTGAGTCAGTTTTGCATGCTGTAGTTGCAACACCGCATGTCAATGGCTGTGTTACCATCAGATCAAGTACTCACCTTGGTCCGCTTCGAATTTTGAGGCAGTTCGATATGCATTGATCCGTTATGTACGTCTCGTCAGCGAGTGGAACTATATGATGTTTGTTTGAGCGGGTACATACACATATGGAATCTGTACGCTGTGCATAGCTCGTATGCGGAAAGTACCACCAGTAGTGGTAAGTGATGGCATGACTGACGGGAATGCGGATATATATACAGAATCCAGTTGCTTGGCTGCGCAATATTGCTGTAATCAACACCCCTGAACGTTGATAGCGCCCAAACCAAAGTTTGCTCATCTGAGTAGGCAGAGAGTTTTGAACGTTCGACATCAAAGCCGAAGTCATGGTCAGATGAGCGATAATGAGCTCCACAAGATTTCAGTCAACAATCATGACTTGATTCACTGACCAGAGGAAGTCTGATGTAGGCTACGCAGCGTCAACCTGAACGGTCTCACCTGTCTGCGTGACCTGCTGCACGACTTCACCCGCACTCGAACCATTGCCGCGCTTTTGTACACTAGTAACAAACTCCAGCACGCTCGCTAGGCCCGCCTTCCACGTAACAAGACGCTTTCCGGTGCCTCCCATTGCTCTCGCTCAAGCGTACGCGGTAAACGTGTAGAGATTGTGTGGTCTTTCCAGGAAGAAGACACTACTCAAAGATTATTTGAGATAAGTATAAACGACAAAATGTCAAGAGGACGTACCATCGATCGCCCACTTCTCTATTTGACTCGACTCAATCCGCAGGATCGACGAAACCTCTGAATATGGCAGGTCGACCGGTCATTCCCGACGTGTGCAAAACCCAGTGATGCAAATGACAGAAGGCGGATCTTACGCTCAAGCTGTGCTCGGTCGAGTTCTGCAGGCCCGTGAATGGTTCAAATATGTGGTATCAATAATGAACCGACTTACCATATTTTTCGAGAGCAGCGGGATGGCTTTCGAGCTATGAAAGTAATTCTGGTAGGCCACTATTCAGACATACCTGCAGAAGCGAGAAAAGCCCGTGATCCTTTGCTGAGACAACAGCGTCCAACTTGAACAATGGGTCAAAGTCAAACAAGCTGGGCAAGCGCAATGCTAAGGCTATGGCATCGATCGCTGCGGATTGACTTTCAGCCCAAGAGGATGGTAATAAAGAAACATTGGAAAGCGTGTGATGATATGCAGTTTCCCTGTATAGTCAAATGTCAATCACAACCTTCATCAGTCAAATGGAATGATACGTACGGCTGGTCAGATTGTATGAATGCATCGACAATGGACTTGAGGAATTGACTGCGCTCTTCCCCAAAGATATCCCATTCTTGCAACCACTGCTCGACATCACTTCTGGATAGACACAAAGTCTCGAGCTCTCCATTGTTGGCGGGGACTTTAAGTAACGGGGTGTAAATAGGTAGGCGGAGGGCTGAATTGCGAGGAGTAGCATTAAACAAATTTGATATGCTATTTGAGAATTGAGCACACGGCCCGCATACATAAGTGTGCTCAAAATGTAGTACTTACATGTATCAGAACTAGAACGCATGTCGTAGAGCCCATCAGGGACGATGCCGCGAAGTGAAGGTCCTTGAAGGCAAACTGAATATACCTATCACAATACATGTGATGCCCCCATCGAAAATCAGTAAACACGGAAAACTGAGATGTGGGGCGCATATTATGGGCGGCCAGGTGGTCGATCGTCACGTGTGACGCGGTATGGACGCGGCGCATTCGAACATGCTTTTGATCTTGGTTCATCAGTGAATTCATGAGTCCTTGATTTTGTAGCCGTGGGAAGTATAAGATGATATCATTTTGCTACGGCTGAATATACCTATGTATACAGCAATAAATATTAGTTATCGGTACATAGCCATGAATCTTTGAAAATTCATTTTACCATGAGGAGTTTGCAACAACATCACGGAATCGGGCTGGAGCTGTTTTAAATAGATAAATCTTACAACATCAAATCAAATAGATACAGGTTATACACAAGGACAAAGCAATACAATAATTTCCAAGAAAACTCCAATTCCGATGAAGACTTGTATGTCTCGCAACTGTGGTATTTGGTAGATAAACACTCAGAGAAGGTCCCGCATCTCTCCAGAACTATGGTCCATCCTTGTATGTGTTTGGCTTCCTGTTGGCGGTTTGCAATTGGATGCAGTCAGCTACAGCATCATTGTAGTAGCTCATAGTTGTGATGCGTCTATGGAGATAGATTGTCAAGGGTTACAATTTCCTTGCAATATTGACATAGTATGGCCTGGATCTCAATAATGATATGTCCTGGAAAATATACCATAAAGAGTTACAGTTCAATTCGCAATACCCCCGCAAAACCCCTGCAGTATGTACAGTGGTGACGCTGTTCTAGATAGCCCTTCAATAGCTAAAATTTACGACTGAGACCATGTACAGGATGCGATCAATTAGTTATTTTTAAAAACAATTATCTGATAATTGGATAGGGATAAACAACGCAGGAAAGACTCGATTTCTCACTGCCGAATCAGCCCAGGACCTAAAGCAGCGATCGCCAATGGAATTGTGAGGCCTGTTCCAACAATGATGCCTAGCCCACATCCTATCCTCGCAGTTAAGGGTAGCCCGTCTTCAGTTGTGAAAACCCCATTCAGAAACCCAAGGATGGAAAAGGCCAAACTGTTGCTATGAGTAACACAAAATAATTGAGATCGAGAGGTTGATTACCTTGACATATATAAGAGACTTGGTATGCTTGCAATGATCACAAAGTTGGTCGTCTTCCCTTGCAGGTAATACGTCTATTCAAGCACTAATATCAGGTCCAAACGGTAGAAATAAGATGGCCGAACCGCTGTAGAGACTCGTGCATCTCATAGTGTGATATGGCGCTTTACACTAGGGAGTATACAGCACCAACTCGCAGCATCACTCTGTGTACCATCCACAGTGATTCCTATATGACGCGCAGCTTTCCTGCGCAACGCGCGCCATGCGCGCACCATTCCCGCGCTTCACGATGTATACGCGCGCGCGCGTTCCCGCGCTTGCGCGCCCTATAGCGCCAGCCATCCAGATGCATCCATCCATTGTCCACCAAGCTCCCTAGTGCGTATATTTCCATTTCCTTTATTAGCATAGTTCCACCTTTATTTTTATCATAGTTTCTCACTCATATATATTTTTACATACCTACTCGGTAGCGCTTCGGCTCCGCATGAGTGCGCTTAGGCGCGCTATATAAGCGCCAGCAGTACATACTATTATTTACCTTACTTTTCACCCAACTTTACCTAGTACTTACTACTTAGAAAGTCGCAGTAGAAATCTATTCATTAGCACAACACATCTCACATCCTTTATCTTGCTTATATCTTCACATAAGTTTAGTCTCTCTTATTTCCGCTTACACGCGCGCGCTTTCCCACGCTTCGCGCTAATACGCGCGCGCGTTCCCACGCCTTTGTACCTTGCGCGCACCTGCGCTTTCTCGCGCTTCGCTGAAGCGCGTACCTCTAGATCTCCGCTGCACCTGCTTCCCCTTTAGGGTCGAATGCACTTGCCATCTCAAGTATCGCAGACTAGGCAACGCACGACCTACAACTTTTTAGATACAGTCAGGAGCATTTCTTTGTTCCTCTCAGTATTGTTGTTTCTACAACTGGAGCCCACCACGAGGGGAGCAGTCAGCAAGATCTAGTTTTGCGCATCTTAACACATACAGGTCAATCTCTTTGCATTTTCACAAGCTAACCAGTTTCTAGTCACACATTCTCGCGCCTTGCGCGCGTGCTTTCCCACCCCTGTGCGCCTTGCGAGCGCACCTTTGCACTTAGCGCAATTCGCACATATAAGGTCAATCTCTTTGCAATTTCAGAAGCTAACCATTGTATAGTCACGCACTCTCGCGCCTTGCGCGCACACAATAGTTCCCACGCCTCTGCGCCTCACGCGCGCGCCTGCGCCTTTTCACGCCTCAATGCCTTATAGAATGCCCATCCGCGGCACCGCAAATGCGCCCAAGTTCAACGGCACTACAGACAACCTCGCTGAATTCATTGACACATATGAGCAGCTCGCTGATGAAGCAGGACTCCAAGGACTTGACCACATCAAAGGTATTATCTGCTACCTTGCACGCAATGATCGAGAACTATGGGGAGGCATGTGTTACGACGTGTGTCGCGTGCGGACTGGGATGATCTAACAGCGACGATCACGACAGTGATACCTCGTGCTGAGAGTCCGAGGTCGGCTTCCACAGAAGAGCAGAAGTTGCGTACGTTCACGGAGGTGAACGATGATAGCGAGTTACAGGCAGAAGGGGTCTCAAGTCCTTCTGAAGGTGCGGATCTGATGTCAAGCAGGTAGCTTTAGCAAGACAAAGGTTTCGATGGTAAACCCAGTAGGATTAAAGTAAGGAACATCTACTTTAATCGTCGACCTTATATAAGGCTACTCTATCGTATCTAAGCTCAGCTTGAAGCTGGGTTCTAAGTGCTTATCTATCGAGTCAGAGATACCATGCATGAGGCAGGCTTCTATCAGTACATGAGGCAACACGAGGCTTGCCTTCTATCTTGATAACATATATAGGTCTTCTAGACCTATGTCGTCATATCATGTAAGCGATCCAGATCGCTTACCTAATCCGGCATCTTCCGGACTTCTCTTCTATTCGTCAACTGTTCGTCATCTATTCGTCGAGGCCCAAGGGGCCCGGGTATCGTATCGTATCGTTACCGTGCAGGGTGGCAGAGGGCAGGTCGTGTAGCTGGGGGCTCACGTAGTGACTGTAACATTACCCCATTACTACGCACAAAGTCACCGGCTTTGTACATCATCTAAACGTCTTCTTCCATCGTAGCAGAGGGTAGGGTAGGGATTGCTATCGTGGAGTCGGAAGGTGCAGAGGGAGTTTCAGGGGCAGGGGAAAGTTCAGTGGGATGCTGAAGTTCTAGATCCGCGAGTGCCTTGTGGTTGTGCTCCCAATCTAAGAGAGCTTCGAAAAACTTCTCTTCATCGCTCAACTCTTGGAGTACAATGCGTCCGTTGAGTCGCGGGCAGTGGACCGACAGATGGTCAGGTCCTAGTTCATCGCAGATGCAACAAACATAATCTGGACATCTTCTAAACTGATGTCCGTATCCTCCGCAGCGCTTACAGAGCGTTCTACGGGTTCGGTTTATGGTAGCCGCCTTTCTTCTCAGCGGGCGTACCGGGCGGGGTTCTTCTATAACGGGCTTCACTTCAACTTTCTTTATCGCGAGGTCAGTGATATCGGAGAAGTCGAGGGGGAGTAAGTGAAGTGCGAAGTTTCTGATCCGCCGTTGCAGATGAAGTATAGCAAGTTTCCGAGTTGCTTCTTCAAGGTCAACACGATTGGCTACATCTTCCAGCAGCTTCGTGGTTCGTATAATGCAGACGGTGAGGGAGGTACACGCTGCAGTTCTGGCGTCTTGATCACCAAGGATTTCGTCGATCGCTTGGGAGTACGCGGGGGTCAGGATAGTAGCTTCATTGAATGCGCTGTTTTCCGTCATTCTGAGGACTGTTCCATAGTCTGAGTCCTTCAGTGCAATCTTGATAGAGTCGTTATCGATGGAGTTTGTCATGATGATGATGGAGGTTCGTTGGGAGAGATGTTCGAGGATCGAGAGGGTTTATAACCTTCTTCCAGATCAATCCAAGCTCAGTTTCAATCTAAACTTGTTATCGTTATCGTTATCTTTTATCGTCTTATCTAGCCATGAGGCTAACTCGTGTTCGAGATTTTTCTTCGCTATCAGAGGGAAAGTGCCGTGATAGGTACTATCATTTTTTATCTTTGTTTGAAAGATCAGGTCGTCATCAGAGGGTGGTCGTCATTGCCATGATGGGTTCTAGAGGGTTCCAAGGGCTTGCAGGAGTTTCCGTGGAGTTCGTCTCGTGATAGTTTAGCCTCGTTCCGGAGGTTCTGGTCTTCTTATCTTCTATAGATCCATTTCTGGGTTCTTTTATCAGATGTCGAAGGTGCGGGTCCGAGCGTGGGTGCCAAGGCTTGCAGGAGTTTCTTGGGGTCGTCCAGCGGGGAGGTCGTCTTCTATTACCCTTTGTTTTTATACATGATCTGTTACTCGGGTGGTCGAAGTGCAGTGATGTGAGGGGTCCCGAAGCTTGCAGGAGTTTTCCGGGGTTCGTCCTTGTTCATCGTCTAGTTTTATGTCATTACGGACCTTCGATAGTTTAGGGTCATTCCGGACCATCGTAGTTTTAGCGTCTTTTCGGACTATATCTAGTTTAGGGTCATTACGGACCTTCGATAGTTTAGGGTCATTCCGGACCAAGGTAGAAGTCGGTCGAGTTCAGGATTTGGTGATCAGTGTTCAGGGTGGAATAGGCGTGGAAAATAAGTAAAATGGAGGATTTCACCCCCTTACTAAGCCATTAGTCACCGACTAATCATATCCAATCAGAAGTCTAGGCCAGGGAGCGGGCCGTCGTCTTCGAAGTCGTTTCCTTCTGAATCTACCATTCGCAGATCATGCGAAGAGGGTGCGTTCGTGTCTTCAT